AGTTTCAAATGAAGTCTCACCACTGAGGTGAGTTTCAAATGAAGTCTCACCACTGAGGTGAGTTTCAAATAAAGTCTCACCATTGAGGTGAGTTTCAGCTAAGGTCTCACAACTAAGGTGAGTTTCAGTTAAACTCTTACCACTGAGGTGAGTTTCAGTTAAACTATCACCACTAAGGTGAATTTTGTATTTATACTCACCACTAATATGAACTTTTGTTCCATACTCACCATTGATTTTGGTTTTGGCTGAATACTCACCACTGAGGTGAGTTTCAAATAAGGTTTCACCACTAAGGGAGTTTCAGTAAAGCTCTTACTACTGAAGTGAGTTTTTATTTGTATACTCACCACTAAGGTGAATTTTGTTTTTATACTCACCACTAATGTAAATTTTTGTTGCATACTCACCACTGCTATTAGTTTTGGCTGAAAACTCACCGCTGAGGTGAATTATTGCTGTTAACTCACCACTTATGTAACATTTTATTGTTATTAAATTTGAATCCTATTCTTAAACCCAGCAGCCAAAATCCCAAAACGCCTCATCAATATTTGAATAAACATTTTCATACACATTTATACATCAACAAACAGACTCTATACAAAAAATAACTTCCTCAACATCTATCTCCCATAAACAAAAATATGAAAAATGATTCAGTGTTTCACACCAGCAAATAATATTTAATATTATTCCGAAATAAAAATGAGATCCAAATAGGAACAGAGGAAAGAAAAATTCATGATTAATTTTGGAAGCAGAAATTTTTATTTACAAAATAACAAGTAGGAAAAAAATAGAAAATGTAAAGAGAAACATGAATAAAATGTATTCAGCATTGGTGTATTATGTAAATGTTTATCATCACGTAAATGAAATAACTAGTAAGCAGCATTCAAAGTCTGTGTCCATACACTAAAATTTTATATGTTCTGTGGATGGTTTTTATGTTTTTTTTTTTTTTGGAATGCAAAAAGGTAAGCGGGATGATTTAATTATGACGTCTAATGTTCAAGATCGAGTCGAAAAGGGAGGGGGGTGGTCTCGTATAATAAAGAAAGTATGGAATTAAGTTAAAGAATAAGCACGACTTAAGATCCAGTAGAAAATTTCATAGAGGTAGGGTGACCATCTGCGTAGTTTTACAACCGACAGTCCTGTATTTCAAAACCCTGTCCTGTACAGTGTTGCATTCTGGCCATTTGTCTGGATCAGATAAATTCTGAGACAGAAATTTCTTCAAAAAGATCGATTATACATGAAGATAGAAAATCTAATCTACACAAAGATTATTTCTACATAAAGATTCTGTCTACATAAAGATTCGATATAGATGTCTACAATTCTACATTCTTCTCTGATGTAGACATGGAAAAAATGTAGAATTGTAGACATCTACATCGAATCTTTATGTAGACAGAATCTTTATGTAGAAATAATCTTTGTGTAGATTAAATTTTCTATCTTCATGTAGAATCGATCTTTATGAAGAACGTTTCTTAGCTAGACAAAAACTATTGAAGAATCTCCATTCTTCATCTAGTGTAGACATCTACATTTGCAACACTGGTCCTGTATAAATTTGAAAATTTTGTTCCAGGTCCTTTATTTTTTTCACGAAAGTTTCCGCTAATTTTCAAATTTTCCTTTGTGTCCTGTATTTTTTAGGAAATTTATCAAATGTCCTGTATTTTCATAAAAATTAGATGGTCACCCTACATAGAGGTCATAACTAAATACACTGTGGAATATGTTAAAAGAAACTTCCTCGCAGGAATCGAACCCACGTTTTCTAGTAAGTCTGATCTGTTGCTTAACCTGTTTGCCATAGAAGACTTACTTTTGAACAGACAGATTCAACTTTGTTTAGCTCGATATCCCAGATTTTACCCTCATCAGATGCCACATACCAGAAAAAAAGTCATATCAAGTAAGACGTAATTCATAAACAACCTTCAAAGCAAAAAAAGTATTTTTCGCCGAAATTATTGTATAGGGAATACCATTAATGGTTACAAGCTACTAAACTCAATAATTTCTATGGAATCAAATCTCCCCGACTATTGAAAAGAAAAAAAAGTAAACATCTAAATAAAGAAAGGAAACAGAAAAAATTCTAGTCTTATTGTTGTGCGTTACTCCCACCAATTAATATTCATTTCCTTGACCATTAACAGACCTTATTATAATTACAATCAATAAGTGATTGTACATGCTTTTTTTTTGGTGCCAACACAAAAAGAAAGGAACAAAAAAAACAAACATTTGAATGAATAAAGTACACGGAAATAGAAATTATAATTTTTAGATTCCTTGCCATTCATTAATTTCTGTTATTTTAGACGATTGTGAGTGTAAATATACGGATGTATATTTGTGTGTGTGGGTGTCAGGAAAAGTGGCATTAGAAATTTATCATAATCGTAGATTTCACGCGAAATCCACATTAGGAAATGTTGCACACTCATAGTTTTTGCCCTTTATGTCTTATGAGTTGGGGGCACGAGAACACAAAGTTATGAATTTTTTGTTGGGCATGAGGAGGAAAATTTTTGATTTGTTTGTGAAATTAGCTTGAAAAACTTTTTTGATTATAGGTTTTAGGAAACAAAATTTTGTGGAAAATTGAATTTTTCTGTTGAATAAAAATTAATATTTGATTCCTTTATGTCTAGTTATGTTGATAGTTTTTGTAACAAAATGTTGAGGTTATGTGTTATTATTGACTAGATTGATCTAGATATTCAGTTATTTGAAGTGGCTAGGTGGATTAGCATCTAGCTTTCTAATTATTTCAAAAGTCAAGGGTTCAAAACTCAACAAAAGTTTTCTTTAATTTCGAATAAAACACAGATTTTCATTGTGGGGCTACAGGACGATATAACACCAAAGGATGGAAATGAATCCTTCCTTTCTTTCATGTGCATCACTTCTAGTTCAGACAAAATCCAGATAACAAATTTATTGGTAATAACATTGTCGATTAATTATGAAGATAATGAGAAAAGGTTCCTGCTGAGCTTTGCATTCCTACACAATGCAATGATTCGAAGGCACTGCAAAATTCAAACAGATTCTTTTGTTCCCCTTTGCTCCAATGCGCCCTTCTTTGTCAATATTAAATCACTAGTTTAACAAATTTAATAACAACAAAAATTAGCATTTTATATAGTAAAATCCAGTGACCTGAACTCCCCCCATACTTCCTATCCAGAAAATTCTTCATTTACTTCCTTACTCTCCATAATTTTCGACAACACTAAGCTGAAAAGAAAGGGAAAACAAACAAGTCAACGAGAAAAATGTGTGAAAGTTGTCAAGTTGTAAGATTTGTCGTTTGTGATATTTTTTCAAAGTAGTAAGGAATACATTAATTAGTTTATTTGATGGATTTATTAATTCATTTAGACATAACTTCAAAATTCATTAATCATTCTTTTAGGGTCGTTTGCATTAAAAACCAATTTCTAATCCAGAAAATTTTCTTTTCCATTCACAAACATAAAAATCGATTTTTATGAGCAAAATAAGAAACGGAACCGCAAAAAAAGTGTGTCAAAATTCAATTGTGAATGGAAAATTGTAATTTCCATCAGATAAAGTTCACCGCTAATTGAAATATGGCTTGAGCTAATTAGAATTGATAATTATGAATGATAATTAATGCAATTAATGTTGTTATGTGCGATAACTGGAATTGGTATTGTGTTTATACTTTTTGATTCTTTAAGTGGTACTTTTGGAAATGTATAAAATTGAAGGGGGTTGTTGGGAAATGTTCTGCTTTTAATTGGCTTTGTTCTGATAGATTTGATGTTAAATTCATCAATTGATCCTATCAATACAATTCAATCGAATTTAAAAAATGATTCAATTTAAACTCAATTTTTTCCGAACGAAACCTTAAAACTATTCTCAAAAGAATTCAAAAGCTTTCAAAACTAATTAAATTAATTTTCAATTTTTTTACCCATTTAATTCCACTTCAATCACAGGCACGAAAGAGAAAAACCTCAAAAATTTTCATTCCGCGATTTAACACAACATAAACAGCACGCATCATGTATCAACATTGTCGCATGCCAGGAGACAAACATACAAAAAAATCACACAAAATAAATGTGAGTCAATATTTTCCTCTATCATCTCTCCACTGACATATGTAGTAGGACATATGAAAAAAAAAATTGAATTTCAATATGTGAACGAGTTGAGTCGATTTTAATTCAATCAATATTCTGATTCATTCGCACACATATGAGAAAAGTTTTTTTTTCTTGTTTTGTTTTGAATTGGGAAATAGAAAAAGCTCTAAACTTGAAAATTTGTTTCGTTCTTTTGGTTTTTTATGAGTTTAAAGCTTGTTTCAAAGAAAAATGTCATTTAACTTTTATTTTGTTCAATTATCCGACCATAAAATTCTCAATATTGAATTTCAACTATTATTAATTACTTAAGTATCTTCAATATGATTTAATTTGATGCTTGCTACTTTTTTTACAATATTTTGTCAAAAAATACCGAACAGTTTAAGCTTAATCGATGTAAATAATGAAGAAAAACTTTCCGAGATGGATGGATCAATAAGTTCGGATTAAATTTTTCTCCAAAATAAAACCGAAGTTTTTTAAAAAATTAAACAAAATTTTAATAATAAAGATAAAAATGCGTCAATTCTACCTCCAAAACTTTTTTCCTTACTCTCTCCATTTAACCTACACATCACGTACGTTGTGCCGTTGACGATAAAAAAGAGTGCTTTTTGAATATCATGACACATAGAAATTGAGACAATACAAATGTTCATATTGACACAATAAAGAAGGAGGAAGGAAGAGGGAAAAATAGAGGAAGTGAAAAAAAAGTTGTGAATGTGAAATTTCAATTAATGTTCGCAACAGTTTGATAAATTTGAGCTCTTTTATTGCTGTTGAATTCTACCTTTTTTTGTTGTAGTATGTTTATGATACAGATGTGAGTTGAAGTATATTTGAATGACAATTTTTGAATTGTTAAATGAATTTTTATGCTGAATGGTTTTAAGGTTAAATTGATATTTAGAGGATGAGGCTAAGGTTGAAGATTTTGATTGTTTGGGTGAATCCAAGCTGATTTTTGAAGAGGGATGTGAATTTAATAACTGACTTTTGCCATAATTACTTAAATCTTTAATTCTAACCTTAAAGTCTTTTATTCATAATTTAAACAACATATTGCATCTTTAAAATCTACAACTTCCATTTAATTATCCTATACGTTTCCTTTAATTTCCTCCAAAATGCAACTCTATCCGGATACAAGTCCACTTTCGCCTCAAGCAGTGTTCTTGCATTTCCATTCTCATTTCCTATTCTCATGTAGTTTAGTGGAAACTTTGATGCCGATGGCCAAAATTGGTCCGAATGTATTGATGGATTTATATGTCCATTATTTGGATTTCTGTGAACAAAGGATATATTTCATGTACATTCAAACTTTATCAACAATTTTCTCACCCCGTCGTAGCAAAATTTGCCCACAAATGTGGCATTATTCGATGTAATGCTCTATCAAAATCTGTTGGAATTGATGTATAGAAGTTGTTGTTCTCATACAATGGAAAAAGACTCAACAGTTCATCCATATGGCAAGTTCCATAGAATTTCTGTCGTCCGAACACTTCAGTATGGCTTGCAGCTCCTTTGTGGGAATATAAGTAGATGTAGGTGTTGTTTAATGTGCTATTTTGGAAACGGTAATTAAGGACGTCAAACATCCCGAAGTAACCACCACCATCTGTGAAGAGCTGTTGAGTTTGATGAGGAAATTTAAATTAGCAAATTAGATTCAGGTCATGTTGTTTAATCAGTGGTGAAGCAAGGAAACCAACTCATTCATGCGGGACGTCATAAGATGATGCTTCAAATGGTCTTTTAAAGTCCTTACCACCAGTGGATTCTAACCTTTACTTACATTCGTTATATTGTCGATTCTCTTCAAATTCATATCTTCATTATTAAAATAAAAGTCTTTTATTTCAGCTGTAATTTCTTCCTGCTCAACTTTATCTAAGTGATCATATCCAGTATATTTTGGGAGTCTATCATTCCATTCAATCATTTTAATGCCATCGTCTGAATATAAATTGACAGTAATCATTGCACCTTCTTCACTATTAATTCCAACCAACCAAGGAATTTCTTTTGCACGTTGATTATAGGTAAAGGATTTTGATGTTATGAACGGTTCTTCTGTAGTTTGGGATACATTTTCCATTACTGGTAGATAGGGTGTTGAGTATTCAAGAAAATGCGACTAGAATATAAGGTTTAAGTACATCCCCTTAAAAGTAACTTTGAAGCAACTCACAAACAATTCAATCAATGTATTAGCAAGGTCCTTCACATCCTTTTCCCTTAAGCATTCAACAATGAGCTTTGTATCTATTACATTCGTGCAATTCAGATGTTCAGCAACTTTAATAGCTCTTTCCCTTGCAACGCCAGAAAAGTCTGGATCAGCCCAGAAATTTTGCAAAGTTCCTGATTGGGAAATTCCCCGATGAAATAGATTCTGTGACATTTGTGAGATCATGTGATAGTTTACACATACTCCACCCGACTGGAAATGAATATTATAAATGTTTAATGTTAAGATGCAGAATAATGAACTCACCGATTCTCCAAATAAAGTCACAGAATCCCTATCACCTCCAAAATCTTCAATATTCTCATTTACCCATTTTAATATAGCAACTTGATCTTTCAATCCATAATTTCCAGGCATATTTTCATCTTCTGTTGACAAGAACCCAAAAATACTCAGTCTATAGTTTCCAGTCACAAGAATGACATCTGTATCCAAAAAATAATCTGGTCCAAATTCACTAATCCCCCCATGACCAGTAATTAAACTTCCACCATGAATCCAAACCATGACTGGGAATTTTTTGTGTCTTTCATGAAGTCGGTGCTCTGGTGCATAAACATTAAGGTACAGACAATCTTCTTGACCTTCAAAATCGCCAGTCTGAAAATGTAATTGTGCACATTTTGGCGGTTCATTTTGTGTTGAAAGAGTTTCTGGTTTCCAAGATTTCTTCGGCTGTGGTGGACGAAATCTTAAGTCACTGACTGGTGGCTCTGCATAAGGAATTCCCATAAATGCTCGAATCGTCCGACCCGTATCTGACTTCATGTATCGTCCAAGAACAGCTCCATTTGTTGTATTCACTAATAAATCCTCGGATTGCCTTGCAGCTATCAAATTCACATGAAGAATGAAAAAGATTAAAATTCCGTACGATTCTGTCAACTTCATGACTACAACTGAGTTGGTTTTTATCAAAAAATTTGCTTTTCGTGAGTATTTTGTAATCTGAGCATAAAGGTTATCGCATAATAAGTGATGAATTAGTTGTATTTCTCACATCTGCTGCTATTCGCGTTGATTAGGTTCAAGAATTTCAATTTGTAGCTTGACTTGCACGCGTGATTGTAAAGACGAAGTTTGAATTATTTTGTACGTAGTCAAATGATTCACTGAGTTGTAAATTGCTAATAGTAAGTCTGTTTATAGTTGCTTATATTCAAAAATTGATAAGTTTGAATCTTAGATGATTTTCAAATTTTAAAATCCTTACATTATTATAATTGAATTATTCTAACTTCACTGCACTTTTGTTTTGAGTTTTAGAAAGTTTATTAATAAATTAAAATTTTATCACTAGATTTTCAGTTTCTTTGGTATTATTTCATGAACTTTGGAAAGTTCTTTTGAGTTTTTACTTTGGGATCACATAAAAATTTAAAAAGCTTATTATTACAAGAATTCACAAATACAAATCGTGACTGAACCGACTTAACACTAAAAACCTGACTGCACTTGTAATTATTTGTGCATCTTCTTTTATAGTTTTTATGGAATCATAAACAGCAGCATTTATTACTTCTGAGTAAACTGTGCAAAACCGATCAATGTCTCGATCAAGTTCAAGATTTATTATATTTTTATTGTAAGTTATAAAAACATGTGATTTCAATCATATATCAAAGAGGTTTTTTAAGAGCCTTGCTGTATGTGTGGATCAACTCAACTTTTAGTAGAGAAGAATATTTCCAAAGATATATTGGATTTGAGCCTAATAACACTCTTCTAGCTTGAATCTTGTCTCAAAACAAAGATTTTTTAAAGGTAACTTAATTCAATTAAAAATCAATGAGTTAAACTGAACCTTGTTAAGGGTTTAAAATTTTCGACTTCAATTGAATCAAAAACTTTGGTTTTTGTAGATTTTGGTTTGCAAGTATGTTATAAATTTACTATAAAAAAGTCTTTTTGAAGTTTTTGTCTGATCAGGCAGTTAGATGATGATTTTATTATTCATGCTTACAAGTTCTCAACTATAACTTTCCTATGTTTTTCATAGACACATATTTATCTAAAAACAATCAAAAAATCAGCATGTCTCAATAATCTACATGTCATTTAAATAACGAGTACTTTTCATTTTTATACCTCGACATAATATCCACAATTTATATGAATTATTAAGCAATTGCAAGTACACATGTAATTTAATGACGCAAAAAAAACTGTATCAAACAACCAAACTGCACTAAAGGTAATGAAAAAAACATTTCAAGTTCATAGACTGTCTGTTGCAAGTACTTCTATTTTTTTCCGCATGAATGTTCAAAAGAATATTGTGCGTACGGAAATGGAAGCACGTATTGTTGAGTTTTAATAATTAACTTTGTACGTAATTAAACCATTATAAAGTTATTAAAGTGCAATTTTAAAAATTTTTCTTTCCAATCATGAATTTTTGTTTTCAGTCTTTCGTGATCTTTTTTCTGTTATTCAGGCTGATCTTCAAATTTGCGCTAATGATTCAAAAAAGCAGCAAGCTTGCATGTTGAGTTTCGAACCTATAAACAATAAATCTAGTGTGTAGTTTACAGTTACTGAAGTGCTAGGTATTGAGTTAATTTAACCTCTTTAAGCTTGTCAACTACTAGCTCGAATAGCACAAGTCGGATAATCGAGACGACGCGGGGTTGACTTGAGGGTTTATCTTGATTAATCGACTTGTGCTACCCGGGTATTCTAAAATGCCAACGCACCCAAATCAAAACCTCATCAAAAACTCCAAACTTTTCCAATTAACCTCAAAAATTGCTCAAACTTAAATTTTTTTCAACAATTAGTAAATTCACAAATGAAGAAATAATTACGAAAAAATTACCCCCAAAAAGGCATTACATCCAAAATAAATCCCCAATAAACATAATTTTGCGTGAAAAGTTTATGCAAATTACAACAAGAAGTATCCATTTTCATGATGACACGTGAAGGCCACAAATAAAGGTAAGGCAAAAGTTTCCGTTGTTCAAAGAAAATTAAATTCAACTTAAAATTTGCATTTTGTACCTTAATGTTGAGTCTAATTGATTCCACATTAATGTCTTGTGGGTTGTCGTTTATGGTTTTCTTATTCAAATTTTCAGTCAACTTTAAGCAAGAACAAAAAACTTTCATTCATAAAATTCTTTCGTAAATTAATTGATCGCTGCCGTTGTGTATTCTTTGCAACTTGCTGTTCAAGTTTTATTTAACTATTTATTTTTTTGTTGTTTTTCAAGTTTTTTCACATTAGGTAGATGTATTAAACCAAGATGAAAACAATCATCAATCTTGTATGAAAATAGACGAAGAAGAAAATAAGTCGAATTTTTTGGCTTTGAAGCGGAAATTTTATACGTCGAATGGAAGCGATGAATGTTAAGAAAGAAAGAAAAAAAACATAAATTGAATGTGAAAGTTTTGAGTTTTGATGATTAAATTAAAAGTGAAAATTGATGTTGATTCTTTAAAGTGCTGATTAAAGGATCTTATCGATTTATTTCAGAGTCTTATATATGCTGCATTTAGTTATCACGTTTGAATGTTTGGCGGAAGAAAAAGAATTGTGTGAACAAAATCTACTTTCTAATTGAAATCTAGCCCACTTCCTTAAAAAGAGGGAACTGATTTACGATTAACAGGCGAAGATGAACCCACAAAACATTTAAAAAAATCCCAACCAACTTAGAATCATTTGGCAGCATAAAAATCCCCAAACTCTGTGTTCATTCGCATGGATATTATTGGCAAAAAGACTTGCTGTTTATTTTAAATATCTTTTTCTCCAATATGAATATTTATACTGTAAGTAAATAATAAATAAATAAGCAAATATTTCCATAGTTTTATGTTCAATGTTTTTGTTTACATATGGAAATTCTCTTCCTTAATATAGTAAAATCAGTAAACTGCCAAAATTGATGATGTTTATTCGAAAAATATTGCTATATTACAGTAATAAAAAGACAGCAATGAAAATGAGTAAGAAATGTGTTGTAAGTGAGTTGTATTGAGTCCTTTTTACATTATGATAAATTTTTTGAATTCATTCATGAAGCAATTGCAATTAGTTCCTTAGCAAACTAGCAAAGTTTTTTGTCCTTTAACGGTTTTTAAAATTCAAATTTTATACCGGTTTTATACATTTGAAATTATCCCGCCATTTTTATATTATTTACGTGAGATAATATAATTAACAATTCTTTTTTAACCAAATAAATTAATTGTCACAACAAGAAACTCTTGAATTCAAAAGAATTTTTTATTCAACGGTTTTTTGAAATTTAAATTTTTAACGGTAAAAATAAATTTAAATTTCTGAACATACCTTGAGCAATTTTTAAAGCGGTAGAAAATATTCAAATTTTTAAACGTACTCATCACGTGGTTTATGAAATAAAAAAATCATTAATTATAGTATAAATGCGCTGTTTCAAGACTTTTTACTATTCGATGGGCCGATAAATCAAAAGTAACGGAGCTAATAAAACAAACGCGAGCTCTCTACGATGTCTGGTTAAAAAGTTTTTCTTCGCCCGAACGAGCAGCCGAACGAACGAACGAACGATTAAATTAAATTGGCTTTTAATAATCGAAAAGAGAAGGTTTCATCAAATTTTTTGGCACCCCCTTTGTAAAATACTGGCTACGCCCCTGACTTTTATCAATCAGGTATAATCAATGATATAAAAACAGAAATTTGGATTGTAAAGTTAAACTTTTTTAACTAGTTATTTTCAAAACAGCCAATCTGACAAAATTGACTTAAAAACTCGATTATTACAATCAATATATCCTTTAAAATAAGCATAAACAAAAATGTAAATTGAGACTTTGAAGGAAAAATTTTCCGTTTTTGAAAGTAAAGCAAAATGAAAGGAAAATTTTAGCTGAAGAAATAAATCGAACGCCAGCCTTTGAGACTAGACACAGTAATTTTTTTTTTTTCATTTCTTCAAAACCAAACTTTCTTCTCCTTCAAGCATATATGCGGCCGTAACTGTCTTCTTACATGCAAATGCATAACTTTGCATGACTCGTGTTTTGCATTTTTTAAGGCTCTTTATTTGTTGAAATGGCTATTCATTGTAATCCTATTTTGTTGCTTATTATTTTTGGCTTTGTTCACTTTTCGCTAGGATTATAATATTCATAAATATTATGGTCAGAAGCCGTACATGAAAAATATTAGTGTTTTTGCAATAAACATAAGGAAGGAATAGTCGAGGAAATATGTGGTGTATGAAGAATATGAAAAAATTGAGTTGAGAAACTACTTATTGTTGGATTTCGAAATATGAATGGAATTTGATTTGAATTTGTGAAGGCTTTTCTTTTGGTTTGGTTTGTATCATTTTAATATTGCATTCTTTGTGCTTTTAACCCAGATTGGAGGAAATTGAAAATTACAGATTATGAGATTATTTTATTACTTTCTGATCAATGGGATGGTTGGAATAAATGTTGATGAAGTTTTGATTTGAATTGAGAAAGGATTTTGTTTTTTTTTTTATTTGAATTGAAATTGGATTCTGTTCTTTTTGCGGAAATTCGAATTTTTTAAAACAGAAACAACATTTTTGTTATAAAAGTCAAATAAATGAAGCTCAAGATCAAATAAGAAATTCTTAATCCCAATCCAATGATGTTAAATAATGTTTATCTTCCATTACAAAATGTCTGCTGACTCAAAAAAAAAATCATAGCACTTTCAAGTAGTTATTGCATTCCTGGGACATCCACAAAAAACCATCATCACTACACAAAAAAGGAAAGGCTTTAGTTGTACATCCATAAAATAAACATTTATTCAATTATTATCACCTTTTCATTCAAACATTCACATTTCATAATTTTCTTTTATTTTTTTTTTACATTCTGTCGCATTATTATGACTTGCATTAAAGTCAGAAGAAAATGTGAATGGAACATGAAACGGAATCGAGTGAGTTGAAAAAATATGGAGAATTAAAATGAACAAACACAAACTGTGAATAATGCTTTAATGTGATTTATGAGTAATATAATAATTATTTTATTACTTATAGTTTTTTCTGAAAAGTCTTTGACTGTTGATTTGCGATGTGGAACTGTGAAAATGGTTTGAAATGCACAATGCAAATATTAAGTGGATGGAATTAGAAGGTATGATTTAAAAATCAAGGTAAGTAGACTGAAATGATTGCATTTGAACCAGTTTGAAGTCGGAAATGTTTGATGTTTGAGATTGTCAAAGGAAATTGGATTAAGATTTTTTAGGAGTGAAATACAAACTTTTTAAACATTAAAAAGAGGACTTGGTCTTTGATTTGTAACTCTCTTGTGGGCTTTATCAAATATGAATGCAAAACCATGATAAATTAAGTTTTGAAGAGCTGTGCATACATATAGGGCAAGATCAGAAAAAAAGGGAATAAATATTCAAATTCAGATTTCTCTGCTTTTAATAACTTAATTAATATGATTCCTTCACTACAT